CCTACAAAGTTATTACTGAAGATTGCTGAATTTAAGCTGTTTCCTGCCTACCCATTTCAAGAGCAGAGGAGAAAAAGCCCTCTACAGATTGCCTGAGCTCAGGAGTTTGAGACTGGACTGAGCAAGAGCAAGATCCCTTCTCTAGCAAAAATGTAAGGAATAGCCAGATGTTCTGGTGTACACCTGTAGACCCAGCTAATCAGGAGGCTGAGGTAGGAAGATCACTTGAGACCAAGAGATTGAGGTTGCTGTGAGCTATGACACCAGGGCACTCTACTCAGGATGATAGAGTGAAACTCTCTGTCTCAAAAAAAAAAAAAAAAATCCCTCTGTGATTCCAACTCCTGGACTGGGAACTGCTACAATCTATGGCTTGTTAGGAACCCGATGAGGGAAGCTTCATCTGTGTTTACAACTGTTCTCCATCACTTGTGTCCCCACCTGAGCCCCACTTCCTATCTAATCCATCCCTGTCCCCCAGTTCATGGAAAAATTGAAACAGGTCTGTGGTGCCAAAAATGTTGGGGACTTCTGTTCTACAGGCAGTGGGGAATGCTGAGTGCTTCTGCAACGAGTAAGTGTATCCTTTGCCCACCTTATACCTGGGCACTAAGAAGGCTGAGGATGTAAGTTGCTTTGTTCCCCAGGTGAGGTAGGGTATGTGGATTCATAAAGAGGGGTTTCCTTCAATTTAGGAAGGGTGCACATGCAGCACAAAAAGTGGCTTAAGTACAATAGCTTTGGATGGCATTTATGAATGGTTTATTTTTCTTATAATTAGTAGAGGAGTTGTACTCACCTGTACAATTATATCAATTATCTCACATTCCAAAAAGCTTTTGTTTAAAATTAAATTAATTTTTTTTTTTTTGAGACAGTCTCACTATGTTGCCCTTGGTAGAGTGCTGTGGCCTCACAGCTCACAGCAACTTCAAACTCTTGGGCTCAAGTGATTCTTTTGCCTCAGCCTCCCAAGTAGCTGGGACTATAGGTGCCCACCTGTTTTTAGATATGGGGTCTCACTTTTGTTTAGGCTGGTCTTAAACTTGTGAGCTCAAACAATCCTCCTGCTTTGGCCTCCCAGTGTGCTAGGATTATACACGTGACACTGAATCCCCCTCAAAGCTTTTCTTTTTAAAAAAGACTATTTTGAGTAGGACAGAAAAAGGTGAACTAGAGTCCTCATGATGGCTTGTAACTCACAACCTGGTTTGTCTCTGCTGTGGCTCACAGGCACAGCCTCAGTGAGGTGCTCTAGTTAAAAGCTGTGCACATGATCAGTTATATCATGGTGCTTTGTTTCTGTTATACA